TTTCCAACCTTACAGCATTGTCTAAAGCAGTTGTGGTTTCACCCAGGAAATCTTGATCCCTGCTGTAATCCTGGGTTTATTCTCTAATAATGTAATAAAAGCTGCTAGGCCATAGGCAATTATACTCATTTTTAGTATATTTACTGAACTCCAGCTGACCACATACTTGAAGAAGTCCCAGCAGTATCAAAATCAGATGTGTCCTCATTTCAAAATGAAAGCCTGTACTGGTGTGCCATATAGTATCTTGAAAAAAGGTCCAGGACTTCCATGTTGCCCTTCTGTTCATCTTTCCCCCTTGAGTATTTAAGTTTGTTCTGCAAGCTTGTTGTTGTCTTTTCCTGCCTTAATGTCTTCTTGACAGCTACAAATAATGAAAAACACAAATAATTTTAGATTATCTCTTGTAGCTGAACATGCAATAAACCCACTGCTATCTTACACCAGTCAAGATTTTCAAAAGTAATTAAGTACGTGAAGATTGTACTTGGTCTTGAGAAGCCTCCTTGGTTTTCTGCTTAGTTTGGGAATTAATAATTCAATGAAAGGACAAGTGCAACCAAAGACCCATTCTTGGTTTCTAAACAGGACTTTTTTATGTTTGTTTTAGGACATTCAGGAAAGATTATTCAACTGGGAGCTTATGGTGAAAATGATTGATTCACTGAAGTCCTATATACCAGAAGAGTGCAAGTGTAGATTAAATATTGTATCAAATATTCTGGACCATTTAACTGTGAAGAATAATCTCTCAGTCCGACAGAAGGAAGAACTTTTAACAGATCTGCACAAGGCCTTCTGGGAACAGCTGGCACATTTCAGTAATGGTGAGTACTTAAACCGGAGCTCATGACTTAACAAATATGGGTATGAGTTCTCATTATTGTATTAAATAGTAAAGAAATTATGGCTTTGGCCCTAAACCCCTCTGTTTTAAAAAGGTATTGATGAATTGGCTGAGAACACTGTTATTGTGAAGGGTGGATGCTTAGAATGGGAACTTTGGCTTTAAGCCTTTTAGGTCTTGTTCAGGCATTACTATGAACTTACTCTACAGTTCACATAATCTATACCTTATTTCATTAATTAGAAGATTGAAGAAGAGTCACATTTGCTACAAGTATTTGTGAGAGTTCTCCATTTACTGTTCACGTACTTGACGCTGTTGATACTGGCTAATGTTAGGGATGGTAATAGCTGTATATGTGCAGAATACTGTCTTAGGATCTCCTGCTAGCATGTGGAGCCAGAAGATATAGAAAACATAGTTGTGGTATCACTCTTGTTAAAAGATAATTTTAAGGCTTATGATCTTCAGATAAACCTCCCTTTTATTCTAAGACTAAAGTACTTTAAAAATGAAGTCTTTTCCTCTTCCTCTTACATCTGTTCACATTGCCTATATGTAAAGTACACAATTATAACCAAGTCTAAGCTGACTGACCCACTGATTTAAGGTTCTGCCTGTGTCACTTTGTATGTTACCTAATGCCCAACATGTTGAGAAACATACCCCCAGTTTCTCTCATAGGTGCTGTATCAAGGGCTCCGTGCTTCCCATCAACACTCATAGAACGTTATAGTCCATGGTCAGCCAAAAGGAAAACAGAAGTATTTTACTTTCACACATTTTCCAGAACCATTTCTGCCACTTGTTGGCTTATTTAAAGAAAATTGTCCTAGCAAAATGGCACTAAGGTTAGAGTTCAGTGAACTGAGTAGTCAGAATGAATGTAGTCTTGTTGCAGTATGTTCTTGGTGCAGTGCTGCTCATTCACTTTCAGGCTTTGTATTGATAAATTGTGCCATATCTCACTATCAGCAATTCACAGAAGCACAGAATGTTTGAGGTTGGAAGGAACCTCTGGAGGTCATATGGCCCATCGCCCTTGCTCAAGCAGAGTCAGCTACAGACAGTTACCCAGGACCATGTCCAGACAGCTTTTGAGTATCTCCAAGGATGGAGGCTCCACAGCCTCCCCAGACAACCTGTACCAGTGCTTGGTCACGCTCACAGTAAAAAAGTGTTTCCTGATGTTCAGAGGGAGCCTCCCATGTTTCAGGTTGTGCCCATTGCCTCTGGTCCTGTCACTGGGCAGCACTGAAAAGAGCCTGGCTCCATCTTCTTTGCACACTCCCTCCAGGTATTTATATACATTGGTAAGATCACCCCCTTAGCCTTTGCTTCTCCAGACTAACCTGCCCCAGCTCTCTTGGCCTTTCCTTATAGGAGAGGTGTTCCTGTCCATCATTCCAATTCCATTTTCATGGCCTTTTGTTGGACTCTCTCCAGTCTGTCCATGTTTTTTGTACTGGGGAGTCCAGAACTGGACCCAGCACTCCAGATATGGCCTCACCAGTGCTGAGTAGAGGGGAAGGATCACCTCCCTCCACCTGTCAATGCTTTGTCTAATGCAGCCCAGGATACCATTACCTTTCTTTGCAGCGAGGGCACATTGATGGCTCATGTTCAACCTGGTGTCCAGCAGAACCCCCAGGTCCTTTCCTGCCAGCTGCCTTCCAGCTGGGTGGCCTCCCAAGTGTGTGCTGGTGCCTAGTTCAGCCACTGACATTCCTTAAGCATAAATGTGTGTTTGTGGGTGTTTTTTCCCCCTTTTTGTCAAGTTTCTCTTATTCCAAAGCAAAAAAAACCTTTGTCAAGGCCTTGATTTTATGCAAAGTAGGTGTTGATAGTTACAGATAGCTATATATAGCTATATATTATAGTTAGTACAACCTGTGCAGAAAGGCATTGTCAACCTGTGGGTTTTAGATAGAAATGAAATGTGCTTAAAAATAAAAAAAATAGTCTGGAGTGCAGCATTTTCACATGAGAGTCTATGTTGACCTTGCTTATGAGCTCCTAAATACCTAAGTTAAACTGTACCTATAATTCACAAGCAGAACACCAAGAGAGCAAGACTGTGCTCCTAGGAAACGAACAAGGAAGTAGTAAAGAATCAAGTAGTGTTGAAAAATAACAGTTGCTACATTTCTTAAAATGACATTTTTATTACAGACTTTCCTGTACTTTCAGTGCACTTTCAAGTGTTTTGTCAGTGCATTGTCAGCCTGTGGATAAGCATGATAAATTAGCATGGAGAATAAGTAACATGTTCAGTGCTACAGTACTGTACTCCTTTATTTCTCCACAAAATAATTTCTCATAGTTAAAGCAGCTTGATGTGGTGGCAGAACAGCAGCCACAGATGACTATTCTTTTGCATTCCCCTTTAGCTGCCTGTGTCAGGAGTGAAGTACTGGTCTGGGGCAGGACAGGTCGGGGAAATGAATAAAGTTGTTCTTAGGTGGACAGGCAATGAGACATGAAGTAGTAGCAGAACATCGAAAGCACCAACTCCACTCTGCAGCACAGGGTTTAGATAGACTCATGAATTCATAAATCACTTGGAGTGATAGGGGAGCTGAAGTGGGGAAGAACTCAGTCCCAAATACTTCACAGTACTAGCACAAAATCAGAGGGACCTTGACAACTTTTGCTGCAGGTTCCTGGATGAGTCGCTTTTGAAGCCTAGTAAGGCGGCATGACAGTTCAAGCTAATCTGAACTAGCACTGCTCTAGACCTTTTCTCCCCACCATATGTTACTGCCCCTGTCCTTGCAGCAGCATTTGCATATCTGCAATTAGGTAATGAGCCACTTCTGGACCTTCCCGAAGCAGGAGGGGGAGGTTTGGGGTGCTGCAGGTGGGAACCTGTTTCTTGAATTAACACACTGCCTTTGCATAAGCAGCAGCACCAGTGAAGGGGAGGGTGTGGGATGGTAGTGATCCAAAAACCTGATAGATTTAAGTGCCATGTGACAACCCAAAAGTTCACATCTAAAAAGACCATCAGAGTAAGAATCAAATTGGTAATCCTGCATGGTAGTTACTTGCCTGTTTCACTCACTGTCAGATTTCTGTAGCTTATGACAGTAGCAAGTGCTACTTTCTCCTTGTGGAGCTGTGGTATCTAATCATTGGTGGTTTAATGTTCCAGATTGTATCCAGCAAAGTAAAGACTTGGTCTTGAAACGACTGGAGTGCCGTGCAAAGAAGAGAGAAGAGTTCACACAGAGACAGAATGCTGAACAAGGGAGTATCCTCAGTAAAACTTTTCGTAATGAAGATGTTCATGATTTTCTTAAGGTGAGCACATTAAAGCTTGTTTTCACTGTTCCATTAGTTTTTAAGGCCACATACATTGCAGATTTCTCCTGCTTCCATAAAATTGGGATTTTTGAGGAATCCTGAGAATCGTGTGCAGTAGCACGGGTAGGATGGGGTCAGACCCCCTATTGCCTAGGCTTGAGTGAGGACTTTTCCTCCAGTTCTGGTCTTCTTGCATTGGAACAAAATACCAAAGGGTGTTAATGCTAGATTGCATGTTTTGTAGAAAACATTGTTTACTTAGATACTATGTATTTGGTTCAATATAGGAAATCTCTGGAGGAAAGGAATCGCTCTCTACAACTACCTGAAAGGAGGTTGTAGTGAAGTTGGGGTCAACCTCTTCGCCCAGGCAACTAGTGATAGGACAAGAGGGCATAGTCTGAAACTGCTCCAGGGGAAGTTCAGGCTAGAAATTAGGAGGCAGTTTCTTTACAGAAAGGGTCGTTAGGCATTGGAATGGGCTGCCCAGGAAGGTGGTGGAGTCACCATGGAGTGCCATGATCTAGTTGATGTGGTGGTATTAGGGCAAAGGTTGGACTTGATGATCCCAGAGGTCTCTTCCAACCAAGTCGATTCTGTGTTTCTGTAAAGCATCTGGCCTGCATTACAGAAGAAAGCAGACTGCACTGATCTAATTGCTTTTCTATGAGTGAGGTTACTGAGGTTCAAAAGACTATCAAATTTCACATAAGCAGAGGGAAAACTCATTATGTTCATTGGTAGGATACCTTAGAGAAGGTTTGAAATAGATAGTTTAATATGGTATACAGTGGCCAGTGTAATGTTTTCTCGGGCATATTTTCTATAGAACTCTATTGTTGTTGTTCATAATGTGTATATGAAATCAGAGTTCTTAGCTGTAAATGCTGAGACCTGCAAAACTCCTATAACTGCTGAGAACTACAGATCCAAGTTATTAAGAAATAAAAAAAAAATCAATCCTCAATTTTCATGAAAAGAAATAATTTGAGGTTAAAGTGGTTAGATCCAGCAGCATTAAACTTTTGATGAAATCTAATAACTTAGATAAACTACTGTATGAGAAGACTCAGCTTCTAGCTGTAGCAAACTGTCAAAATTTATTGATTGCAACACTGCAATTTTGTACTGCAGGGCCAAGTTCTTTAATTATATTGTAAGAATTGGGTAATGCAGTTACTGTTCTTATATGCAACACCTGTCTGGCAACATCTCACTTCAAAACAAAAGGTTTCAGGCACTTTAAAACAGTAGAGCACATTTTACCTCTTTGGCTTTTCATAACTTGAGTCAAATAATACTATCAGACATTTTTGTAGCCATTGAGCACTTGTGAATGTATTTTCCTTATACACATCATTCAAAACTCTTGGACACATCCAAAATTTGTTAAACAAAGCTTAGAAATTTTGTATTAAGACCTCTCCCCTACAAGGTTAGAGCCACACAGCTTTATGCAAGAGATGCTCTATTCTGTACACCTTAGAAAGCTAACAAATATGCTTAGTCAAACTGTAGACTAACGATTTGCTTATGACAGGCTGCGCAGGAATGGGCAACTTGCACTTCATGCTGCAGGACAGAACACAGCTGAATCATAGTATTATGAAATGCCTGTGTACAAATAATAAAAGAAGTCACAAATTTAAGCCTTTCTGCTGCCATAGTGGAGAGAGCCTTTTGTCCCAGAACAGATGAGGTCTTGAGTCCAGAGACTCTTTGAAGAATAAAAAAAATGGTAAGCATCTGCAACTCCCATGATTTGACTTAAATTGTCCAGTTACTATTTTGTGCAAACAATCGCCTCAGCATTGAGGAGCTTTTTAAAATGTGTTTCATGGTTTCACAGCCAGCCCAGCAGCGAACGAGTTGGTCCCGAATCCTCAGCATAAGCCCAGAGTTGTACCCAACAAATGCATTTTTCTTCTCTGCCTTCCCCCCTCCACCTCATCAAAGGGCTTGCACCACCATGGTAGCAGCCTTGGCAGTAACTGACCTTTCTGCTGAATTGTAAATGGTTGCCAATTAAGAAGGTGGATTTTGCAATGAACTTTCTTCACGTCAGTTTCTCCTGAATGCAAGCTGGATAGTAATGATTTAGTTGATGCAGCTCTGTTTTTTTGATATAACAGAATGACTTAGATAGTAAAGGTTAGAGTCCCTGTATCATTCTGTCTCCTTTGTCTATGTTTCCACTAGAAAAGGGGCATCTCATTTTGTTTTTTACTGACAGAGAACACAGGAATGATCAAGTGATGCACACAAACCAGAAAGTGCCAGTTACAGTCTTGCTCAGCCCTACCCCCGGTGAGCATACAAGTTACAGCAATTAACTTGTCAAATTCTGTGGTAAACTACGATTTCATGATACTTGTGAATTTTCAAGTCCAGCTCTACAAGAATGACCTGTACATGAAGAGTTTATGAGCACTTTTGTGCTCTTTAAAAGAGCCCTATGGAAATACCTGATGAAGAAAGCCATATTTACCACAGGAATGTAAGAAGGCACTTGGCAGTTTAAATCAAAATATGGAATATTTATGTACAAGACCACTCATTAGTCGACAGAAGGAGATGTTCTTTGTCTCTGAAATTCAGTCTTCCATTACAGCACATGAGCCTGGCAACACAGCACAGTCCTGGCTTGAAGAAAAAAATTGCATCCCTCTTAAATCTGTGACCTAGGAGCAGATCAGGACCAAGTCATAGATCAGCCTTTTAGAGACCAACATGGAACATGATGACCAACCCCAGTGCAAAAGCCCTATACAGTGTGATACAGCTGTAACTGAGGTGTCTGATGGTGATGTCTGCTGGCTCTTCTGCACCTCATAGTACTGGCTATGATGAAGTGATATTCATACGCAGGAAAGCAGGTTGCATGTCAGATAATTTCACATGTTTTCCAGTATTAGGTACATATTATTTAACCCCAAATTGCCGAGGCTATGGAGTTTCATACTCAAGACTGGATATGCTCAAATTAACATCGTAAGACAAGTTTAATTTCCCTCTGAGTCACAGTTCCAGATAGACACTGTTGTGATAGTGCATGGGAAGGGCATCTGGGAAGGAAGAGGAGGATCACAAGAAGCTATCAAAATCTTTTCAGCTATTTAAATAAACCTATTGTGTTTTCTTTAGGCTTACCATGAGGTGTTAGAGAAGCATCGGCAAGCACAGTGGGAACTGGAGGAGGAGGATGACTGCGAAAGCACAGAGGCTGTTGCGGATCTCTACAAGGTGCCACCTCTAGTGATATGTATCATTTACTAAAATAATTCTGAAGATCCTATAACCCCACTACACAATATCAGGCCTTGGGGAGGACTGGGGAATTGCAGGAGAGATCATGGCAGCTCCAGGAAGCTAGGCTGGCAAACCAGATGGAGATGGAGACAGGACTGTCTTACACATTATCTTGCTTTTTCCATTATCTTCTCAACACACTACGTTTCCTAACCTTGTATTAGTCAGAAAATGCCTACATGTTCTGCCAAATCATGCTGTCTGGGTGGCTGACAAGGCTGCAATAAAGTTGAGAGTGTACAATGTCTGGCATTACTACCAGGGGAGAGACTTCATTTATGTAGCATAATTATCTCCTCTGCACCATGGTAGGGTGATACTATTCTTAGTTAACTTCACTCCATCTCCAAAAGTAGTTTTCTCATCTCTTTTCCTCTCACAGAAATTGTTTTGACACTAGTTAGTTCCCTGAAATAAGTTCAGATCTTTGGAGTAAGTAATATTTTTACACTTCTTTATGTTACTGATTTGGAAAATATGTAGATGCCTCATGCTTTTGCGTCATCTTTAATTATTTTCTGTCTGCACTGAAAAATAAGATAATGTGATTTATCTGATGAAGCCCAAAACTGTAGCCAGCAGTGACCTTTAATTAGGCTGGAACTAATCACTTTCAGCTCAACAGGATCCTTGTCATGATTAATTATGACCAGATCAGGATGTTACAGAAATTTGTAGTCCCTATCACATTAGGATAAGATACCCACACAATCTTAATTAGCACTAGTCCACATACACTTTTTCAAATTCAATTGCTAAAAACAATAAAGCCACTGTATTTAGAACAAATAGTTTTGCCATGTTTTTATGTAATAGTGCAAGCAACAGGATATTTGAGAACTACTACTACTTTGAAGAAAGGAAAAGTTTGCTTGGAGGGCTATGCCAGTGAATCAGAGTAGATTAATTCTACAAAGCTATTTAAAAAAGGTCAACATGGATGCTGATACTACTGCGCACAGTCCATTCTCCAAAGTTACTAACTTCTCCACCCCCTTCCTCAATTCACATGAAGTCTCTGGAGACCAAACAATTTTTTTTAACCCTACACAGTTCCACCTCATTTGTGAAATTATATTACTTTCCTTTATTGTGTAGTCTGCTTTAATGACACTAAGATCAGACTGAAAATGCTATTTCTTTCAGCACTGTTAGCTAAGTTTCTTTTCCATTAAAGAAAAATTGGTTTGGGCGAATTAAGTGTTTCTAGAATTGCCAAGTTGCCAGGAGAGCTGTACAGACTTGAACTCTGCCAATTCACCCAGTTCTGAGCCATTTTATTCAGTATTACAACTGCTTTCTTACTCCTAGACACAAATAAACAGTCAGACATGAAAAACTGCAGGTGCTCTGATCCAACTGGCATCTGTTGAATAAGGGTCCACAAATCTTAATTTCCACTTTTTTTGTCTATAATAAAAGTCTTTTATTGTGACATTTAACATAATGAACAACTGCACTTTTTCCCTTTAACCCTAAATACAGATAGTACAGACTGTTTTAGGAGAGCAGACTGCTTCTGAATATACCTTGTAAGCAGCATAAGCTAGAAAGAAGAGAAAATACAAGTGAGCATAGCCCCAGTGTAGGTAAATGGAGTTGTTCTGACTTCGACAGCTGAGGGAACTGCAGTAGTTAAAACACATTGTCCATTACCTGAGACATAAAAGCAAAAGTAGATTTACCATCAAGGGAAGGAGTTGCATCTCACAACCACAATGCCTTTGCCTCTCTCGCTGCTCCACCAAACTTGTAGAGTAGAAGTGCACCTTGGAGAAGCAGAAGCCTTTCCCTGCGCAGCAGAGCTTTGCCCCTTCAGTTAGTTTATCCATGTTTCCGCTAGGGAGAAACTGCTGCTACCAGTGGGGAAGGCAAGATGCCCATGGGGAGGCAACAGGGATTTGAGGTACTCCATAGTGCAGTGGTGTGACTGCAGCTCAGGCAGACCTAGGCAAGCAAACATTAGACTAACCAGCTGGTTACTAGCAGCCCTCATATGGCAATAGTCAGCACTGTGCTAAAAGATCTGTGTCCCAATCGGGTTTGAACCAGCTGGTTTAGGCACATCTGCAAACACCGCAAAGCTCCTTGTTGTCATTCCAGAAGGTCTATACTCCCTGAAGCTTAACTGATCGTCATTTGCCTTGCACTCATTTGAAAGGTTTGACTCTGCTGTTTCTGTTCTACCATGAGCGAGGAAAAGGTTAAATTAAACATTTAGTTAAACATTATATTGTTCACTTAATCTCCATATTTCCTTAACTGCAAGCATGTGTTACTGAGTAAGTTAGAATGCAAGGAAAGAACTTCACCAGTAGAGAGTTCTGTTCTGTTGATTTTTTATCATTCCAGTAAAAACTGAAGCTTAGCAATGTTACTGGAAAAACTGAGTGAAACTCTCTAAAGTCACCCTGGCATGCTCCACAGATACTCAGATGAATATTCCTCAGCCTGTGGTCTACGAGACATTCAAGGATGGACTGCAAGACATTTCAAGAAGATGCATTCATACATTTGTAAACACAGTCAGAGTGGAAAGAACTAGAAGTAATTAAATATTTAAGAGTTCAGGCCAGTTTTTATTTTGTTGAAAATGAAAATTAGCCTTGCAAAACTGCACAAAGTAGTTAGTTATACTTTCCCACACACAGAAGTTAAATAGTTGTTGTATTTAAGGGAAATAAAACTGAGATGTCTTACTAGGAGCTAATTACCTAAATCTAAGAGGAGACAAAGTGTTATCTAAATCACAATTTGTCCATAACCAAGATTTAGCACTAGCATCCTATATACCCCCTCTTCCAAGTAGCTCATACCCTCTACTGGCCCAGGATTAAAGAAATATCGCTTATTTCTTCTGGGCTGAACAATCTAATATTGTCCAGTACTTACAGGATTTAGACAGTTCCAGACAAGTTTGTGCTTGTCATTGCCATAGTGACTTTGGTGGGAAACCGCCAGAACTGGAATGAATCACACGACACTTTTCGGATTAATGCCAGCAGAACCTAAACCATGGTGGGTTTTTTTCCACATCCAAGCCCTCTGTTTTCTTAAGTTGCTTTCATGGTCCTTAGGACATCAACAGTATTGTAATTTATCAGATAAACACCAATATCCTAGTAAAGAACAGCCATGTTGGTTTAGACAAATGGCCATTTGGAGTAGTATCCAGTAGTTCGTGTGCTGTAACAGCACCAGCGTTGGAGAGATGCATAATATCCAGTTAGCAAAGGTTAAGTCCCATTCTCAGGCAATCTTTCAGCTAAGAGCATTTACTAGCAGCTTTCAAAGTAACTGTCTTAGAGCATACAGATGCCTCCATCCTATATCAACTTTCTAAACCATCCACCCCTATTTAAGTATTATATCAAAACTTGCACTATAGATGACAAGCCAGAATAAGTCCTCAAGGAAGACAGCAAGCACAAAGTTCTGAAGGGTCGCACTCACAAATTCACTCAGCCAAGCTCAGAAACCAAATGCCCGGTCGTCACCCTAAGCTCATGGTCCTTAGCTGCTATATTTGAAGGCCATTACACCTTTATATTCAAGGGAAAGGAGCTGGCAAGGTCTTACATGTGATAAGGGCTTATATGTGGCCAGCAGGTCGAGGGAGGTAATTCTCCCCCTCTACTCCGCTCTGGTGAGACCCCACCTGGAGTATTGCGTCCAGCTCTGGAGCCCTCAGCACAGGAAAGACATGGACCTGTTGGAGAGGGTCCAGAGGAGGGCAACAAAAATGATCCGAGGGCTGGAGCACCTCTCCTATGAAGACAGGCTGAGAGATTTGGGGTTGTTCAGCCTGGAGAAGAGAAGGCTTCGAGGTGACCTCATTGCGGCCTTCCAATACCTGAAGGGGGCCTATATGAGAGATGGGGACAGACCTTTTAGCAGGGTCTGCTGTGACAGGACAAGGGGTAATGGTTTTAAACTAAAAGAGGGTAGCTTTAGACTTGACATAAGGAAAAAATTTTTTACAATGAGGGTGGTGAAGCACTGGAACAGGTTGCCCAGAGAGGTGGTGGAAGCCCCATCCCTGGAGGCGTTCAGGGTCAGGCTGCATGGGGCTCTGAGCAACCTTACCTAGTTGGAGATGTCCCTGCTCACCGCAGGGGGATTGGACTAGATGACCTCTAGAGGTCCTTTCCAGCCCAAATGATTCTGTGATTCTATGATTCTATGTGATAGAAAAGTTTAGGCCCTCCATTCTTCCATCAGTTGTGTGCCAGAATGACTTGACTCGTTTCAGTAGTTACCTTGGTTTGTCCTAGTGTAATCAAGCAAGGAAGCAAGCCTGACAGACTTAGTTTTATGAATAAGTAGAAGGATAACCTCAATGCAAAAGGTGATATTAACATACTAGGAAAAGGTCACCATATCACCAAATAGACAACCATTGAATATCCTGAGGACAAAAGAAATGATGTCACTTACCTGTAAGTGTGACTCACTTGTGGGATAAAATCCTTACCTTGTTCTCACAATGTTCTTATAAGCCCTTCTCAAATTTCTATGCCTTTTTTATTTTTTAATTTTTTCCTCTTTTAAATAGTTTGTGAGTACCTCAAAATAGATTTATGTAACCGTCTAGCACTACTGTAGCCTGTAGTGCTACAGTACATCAAAGAATTATCCAAATTGGTGAATAAATATGTAAAAATGCAATGATCTGGAAGCTGACTGTGTTTGCATAGAATAATTGAGGAGGTTGGTTTTGTGTACACATGAATAAATCAATTAAAATGATTTAACCAAGGTTAATAGTATCTGTTGATGCCTGAAGTGAATGAATGAGTTATATTTGGAGGATAGCATAGGACTTTTCAGCCATACTAGTGGATTAAAATAGTGCACTGTAGTTGGATAGTCTGTGTTTAGACACAGGCTCCATAACTATTTTTTGAGGTGCAAGTTGAGGAATGGGGGCAAGT